TTTCTCCCTCTCAAAATTGCCCACCCCCCTCTCCCTCTCAAAATTGCACACACCCTTCCCCTCTGCCACTCAAAATTGCACACACCCTTCCCCTCTCCCACTCAATATTTCAGTATGGTTTAGCACAACTGTAATGTAATTTCTAAGTTTGATAAGACCGTTTTTTATCTCTAGGCACAAGAATGCATCATTACGTGTTTTATTAAAAGTTTTGAATACAAAGGCATGGTGATACCTAAAAAATAAATAAGAAGTCTTAACGAAGATCTAATGCAAAACAAAATAAAATTGTCAAGCTTTTAAAAAAAAAAAAAAATTCATGTCAGAATTTTCATGAAACGTAATTGTAAAAGCAGTGCATTAAGATTAATATGTCTAATCTTTTTTAGGCATTCATGCTCTTTTCGCTATTTTGATTAGTAATACTACAGCATTAGATCTTCAGGCGAAATGTTTTTCAGAAGTAAAATTAAAATTTTGGCGTTTTCAAAGCACCCTGTTCTTTGTTGTTTTGATTTTTGTAAAGCAGAATGCACGCAAGGAAACTGCCTATAGTGCCTGTATAGTGTATCTATCTATCTATCTATAACACCATATACATGACTTTGTTGCCAAGCCACCTATATGGTTTGGCCTGTAGACATAGAAACCAAAATTTCGCCTCTCGGGAGGGAAGAGAGAGGGGGAGGGGGAAAGCGTTTATAAAAAATCAAGCAGTTTAAAACCCCGTCAAAATCACCACTGAAAATTTCAAATAAATATCCAAATGTCGAAATATTATTTTTAATGAAACCTGTGTTACGTTATATAAAGGAAATTACTTATATAACCTGAAAGCTTTCATAGCGGAAACCCAAGCCTGCCCAGGCAANTATAAATAGTTCATCATGGTTGAAAGTAACCACTGTAAGTCCCAACAAGCAGCAGAATGAGGACCTTTGGACTATTGACAGCTTGCCTGGCTGTTGTCAGCGCAGGAAATATTGCCGAGGAGCTGACAGCTGCCGGTAAAATTCTTTAAAGTCTTTTAAATCCAAATTTTTTAATTTTTCAAGTTTCCCGAACCAAGTGTGGAATTTTTTTATTTAGGAAAATAACTAAAAATTCCAAATATTTTTCTGACAGTGAATATTATTTTTTCACTGTTTTTAAAAATTTTGCTGACTTTTTCAAACCTTGTCAAATTTTTATGTTTCCTAAACCTGGTCTGTAACTATTTTCTGAACCTGGTCTGTAACTGTTTTCTGACATCCAAACACTCAAGAATTTTCTAATTTATTGTATCTAAATGATTTTCATTCAACTAAATAATAATATTCAATTTTTTATAATATATTTACATGTTTTGCAATTTTACCTTATTTTCTCATTTCCTAATATCTAGCTAAGAAATGAAAAGAAATTAACCACAAGCGAGGACCTTTCCCTCAAATTTTTCAAAAGTTTCATTGATCAAGATAGAATTATTTTTTTTTGTGTTTTTCATAACAAGAAAAATTTATATTTTGATGTTTTATATTATTTTCCTTACAAACGTACAAATATATAGCTAAGAAATAAAAAATAATTTCTATTTGCTTAGGTTTATTTGCTAATCATTAAACAAAATTGCATTTGCTTCATCTCATATTTTTAAATCTCCACATTTTGTTGTTGTATTTCTATCTATTTATATTGCAGGAGCCACCACACTTGTAGATCTGGTTGTCAAAGCTGGACTAGCTGATACGGTCAGCACTGGAGGTCCCTTCACTGTCTTCGCCCCGACCAACGAGGCTTTCAACAAGCTCCCCGCCTCCCTCCTCGCAACCCTCCAGTCAGACATAGAGCTCCTCAAGAAGGTAACTTTCAAAATATGTTGAGCCTTGATTAATTTTTTATGCTTCAAACTTTAAGATATACTAAAGCGCTGATTACTTGTTTATTAACTAAAAAAAGGAAATGATTGAGGCTCTTAAACTCTTATCTTCTATTTTTTATTTTGCAATTTTTGCTATTAAGGTTGGGCTTTTTAGAAATCCAACTAAAGTTTCCGTGCAAAAAAATTGTATTCAGTTTAAGAAAAATTTGACCTTTAATTGCAATAAAAAATACGTTTGTATGTAAATTATAAAAAAACTAGCATTTGAGAAAATGCCCAACAATCTTCTATACATGCGGTAATATTTAGCGCAAAATGTTCTCTATCTTAATAACGTTGAATGATTGATTGATTAGGTTCTTCTGTACCACGTTGTCAGCGGAGAAGTATACAGCAAAGACATCACCAACGACATCACTGTCGACAGCGTTGAGGGATCTAAGCTGAGAGCTAACATTTATCTTAAATCTCCTTATTACCCGGTAAGATTTTCATTATATCTTCGCGCCCCCCCCCCCCCATTATATTAACCCAATCTTAAAAAACTATATTTTTCAAAATCTTTCAATTAGCTCAAATTATTGATGATTATTTCAGGGTTTTGTCACCGTGAACGGTGTCCGAGTGACCAAGGCTGACCACAAGGCTGACAACGGTGTCATCCATATTGTTTCCGACGTCATCTATCCCTTCCCTACCGGAAATATCGCTGAGGCTGTAACCGCTGATCCCAGATTCTCAACTCTCTTGGCTGCCGTAGGAGCCGCAGGTAGATATATTAATAAAAATTTACAGAAAACAGTAAAACAATCTCCGCCATCGGATTTTATCTGGTCGGAGTTCCGCCCTTCAATCGCAGAGCTTCAAATTATGTCCAACTTTGGTTTAAATGTTGGCTGGACTATCAATCAAAATAGTTAAATTATTAATAATCTAATTTAATTAGGTCTTGCTGAGACTCTATCCGGAGAGGGACCCTTCACCGTATTCGCCCCAACCAACGAGGCCTTTGCTAAGATCCCCCAGGATACTCTGAACGGTCTTCTAGCAGACAAAGATGCTCTTACTAAGGTAAACAATATCCTTTGCGTAATTATTTAAAGATCAATCTTATTAAATCTTCACGATATGCAACAAGCAGATATATAGTACGTAATATTTTCATGTACCCTATTTATTATTACGCAGTACGTGAAGATTTCATTTATGTACAATCATGTTTTCATGTAGGTTGAAATGTTTTAATGTAGATCTTCATGTTTGCTAATTTAAACGAGACGTTTACCTTAAGCGCAAAGCATTTGCTTGCAGTACTTAGCATTGGTTTACGCTACATAGTTTTAGCTTGCGGTACATAGCATTGGCTTGCGGTAAATATCATTGGCTTGCGGTACATAGCATTGGCTTGCGGTAAATATCATTGACTTGCAAAGTTGCAGCACATAATGTTTGTTTACATAGGTTCTGTTGAGACACGTAGTCCCCGGCACACTGTACAGCAAGGGAATCTATTGGGCTGAGCACAAAACAGCTGGTGGAAATGAGGAGGATAATGTACAAACACAGGTACGGTTAATAGACAACAGACATTAGATAACAGACTTCAATTATTAGACAACAAGTAGTTGAAAATAGACAACAAGTTTAGATATTAGACAACATATATCACGTGATCTTGCCAGGCTACATTTGTGGCATAAAACGTGTTAGGTTGACTTTATAATGGGTAGCCTGACTGGACAGTACGACTGACTGCATAAACAGTACGTGCAGTACCAGCACGGATCGTGCATGCATCTTTTAGACTGGGGTGATATCAGAGATTAGATAGACAACATACATCAGTAAATAGACAACACATATCTGCTAATAGATGACAGACACAGATTAATAGACAACATACACCAGAAAAAAAGAAAAAGAACATTAGATAAAAACAAACGACATCATTATTAGAAAAAGACATTAACCAAAGAAAACGTGCATTGAATTAGAAACTATTTCATTTGACAGAACCACTTTATTTGTGAACGATAGACAAAACAGATTTTTAAAGGTTAAGTATTAATTATTTTTGTAATATTTTAAACATTGTTGTTTAGGTGTTCAAGGGAGGAGTAACAAAGGTTGTATCTAAGACTGCTGGAGCTCGAGTAGTTGACGTTGATATTCCTGCAACCAATGGAGTTATTCATGCTATTGATACAGTTATATAAATAGAAAACCAAACCAAATCAAATCTTACAAATAAATATTTAAATTTATTCTAATTCAATTGTTTTATTGTGAGAGGGACTTAACCAGAGATATTGAGAACTTTTGTTCAGATTTCGAATTATTTAATTTTGAAGGGAAATTTTGGAAATGCTATGACTCTAGATGTATTCTGTAATTATTAACTCTAGAATTTTACTTCTAAAAGTAGGTTTACGAATACATGTCGCAAATTATTTTGAAGATCATAATTCAAAGACAACCTTCGAATGTCGTCTTGGTAATGTCATGTTTCGTGGGACACCCTATCTGAGAATTTCTTAACCAATAAATATGACTTTCCAAGTTGGAAAAAAGGTTTTGAATCGATAAAATTATCTATATGTGGCACATTATTAAAACAATATCTGAATAGTTAGTTATTTTAAATACACTAAATGTGCATTTTGCACAGTAGTAATTTAAAATGGCCTTTATGCTAAAATGGCAATGCCTAATTCACAACAGTATTCTTAAAAACTGTGTCTGGTCAAGTATGAATTAGTTATGTTTATAATTTTGAAAACTAATTATTTTTAGAACAGCTAAACAGCAGAACAGCTAAACAACAGAACAGCTAAACAGTCTCGACTTTAAATGTTGCAACGCCTTAGCCTTTGGTTTTCATCCTCAACTCTCTTATATTTTTCGCAGCCCTAGATATAAACATTTTTGCAGCCTTAGATATATACATTTTTGCAGCTCTAGATATATACATTTATGCAGTCCTAGATGTATACATTTTTGTGCAAATTTTTGTTGTGAGGGAACCTTTGCATGGAGGGTCACTTGAAATTGAAAAGAGTTTGCAGTAACTAAAGAATCAATTTGCCAATTCCAACCCCCCCCCCCCGCCCTCCCTAATGCTATTCTGGAATACAAAAAGAATAATCTGAAAAAGCTGATTGTATTTGTATCACAAGCATTAGATACAAAAAGGTACTAAAACTAAAAGCAAAGATTTGATCTTTGGCTTGATAATATTTATACTCCGATGAAATTTATACATTGCATGTTATGCTATTATAGCATGAAAGCTACACAATTTTATTTTTTAGCATAAAATATAATGATTAGTTTACAGGATAATTTGGTTTGGTGCATGAATAATATAAATATACTAGAATTTTAGAGCGTCCATCTTCTATTTAAATTGTGAACATTTTCTTTTTGTATACGTTGTAAAACAAGAACAAAAAAAGTTCGTGGATTTTATAAAAATAAACATGAAAAAAGAGAAGTTGTTAATTAACAGCTTCTTTTTGTTTACGCTTGTCTAGGATCAAAATAAAAAAAACAAAAAGATGTCGGCTTTATATTGATTTAAACGCTAACCACTGGACAATTTTAAATTCCAATATATATTATTCAGCCATTTACTATGTCATAGATTTTCATTTGTCATTTGTTAAATTCTCATTGAAATAATGTGTGAGATGAAAAAATTAAAATCGTTTTTTTGGTCAAAAACCATATTCCCAATATCTGAAGAGGATGCTTCTTTTTAAAAGTGTTAGACATTAAAACTCAATTTAGGTTTAAAGTCAATTTTTTACATAGGTTAAGATTTTAAATTTGTTCTCGTGAAATCAATTTTTAAAAAAACTCACACCTCTACAGATAAAATACAGTGATAACCAGAAAATTCTGGAATAGGAAGACGACTTTAAGACTCTATTTATGACTGCAAATAATCCAATAAACATGAGATACAGCAACTGTGCAGCCCAATTTCTAAAAAAATAGGATTTTTGAGGAATTGCTAAAACTATTTGAATATTGTAATAACACCCAATACACGTATACATTACTTTAACGTCGTCTTCCTATTCAACAGTTTTATGGTTCTTAAATTAAGTTAGTTCTGCGTGCTAAATGTAGTTAGTTCTGCGTGCTAAATGTAGTTAGTTCTGCGTGCTAAATGTAGTTAGTTCTGCATGTAGTTAGTTCTGTGTGCTAAATGTAGTTAGTTATGCGTGCTGTAAATGCAGTTAGTTCTGTGTGCTAAATGCAATTTGTTCTGCGTGTTAAATGTAGTTAGTTCTGTGTGCTAAATGTATTTAGGTATGCGTGCTAAATGTAGTTAGTTCTGCGCAGGCGCGTAGTGGAGGTTTAGCCTAGGGGGTGCACTTCTGGCACGCGTAAGCGCGTCTAAAAAAAATTTTGTGCACCCCACTAAAGGTTTATGTACATCCCCCTAAAATACTGGTATAAAGAAAAAAATAAAGTTTAAAATCTATATATTATAATCTACCTGAAGGCTGACAATAGTCATCTGACCATAATTACCAATCATACCTTTAAAAAACCTTAAAAAAGTACTTTTTATTTTTTATCAAATTATATTACATCATGACTAGATTATTTAAAGCTTTTTAACGATACCTAAATCTGTATTTTGTGGCGCTTTGTGAGAGAAAAGATGTCCCAAAACATTGTTGATAGAAATGTTCTTAAATTTCCCTAATGGTGGGTAATGTTTGCATCTGCATTATTCATATTAATGATGAAGATTGTTCAATCCATGGATTAAAATAAGAAAAATAAAATAAATTTTGGTAAGAAGTTTTGGAAACATGCAGCTGTTTTGAACCATAAAAAAGCGGATTAAAAATAGCATTCCATTCAAATGATAAGGCCTTAGAATTAATAAAAATTAACTAAAAGCCTCCAAATTCAAGAACTCGTGGTTTTTTTTTAAATGAAATGTTTTTAAAATATCCTCATAGGCAACCTGGTCCAGGACGTCTGAATGAATTTGAGAAATAATCATAAAATGGACAAATTGTGACATTGTCGATTGATAAGTAAAAAATCTGAATATATATGTAAGTTTACAGTTTAATAAATTAGAGCCTGCCTCTGGCTCTAGGGGGGGGGCACAGAGGTACCGGCCCCCCCACTACGAGCCTGGTTCTGCGGTATTGGTGTAAACTGCCCCAAAATCAAAATTTGGGTTATATGTCGATATATCCGTGCGTTTGTGCGTTATCTTTTCTTTATGTGTGTTTTCAATTGAAAAATATCAATTTATTTTGCAAAAACGTGCGTTCTTGCGCCGCGGAAAAACGCATGAAAATGACATTAGAAAAAAAATTGGATAA